AGGTGCTAGTAGCTATTAACCACAGTTATCATTTTGAACCCTCAACAGTGCAGATGTCACACTGAAAAAGGCAAGTCACATCTTGGTAATGAGACCGTTTGAATCTTGGGACCCCTGAAATGGGGTCCTAAGGGTGACCCGGGGTTCTGCAGGCCACAGTGAGAGAAGTGCTGGAATGTTTCGAATGATTCTAAGCAACTAGTGATAATACTGGAAAATGTAGACTGGGTATTCATTGAATTACCTTTTTGACTTTTCCATAGGTTGGGTTTTTGGGGTTTTATTTTGGTGTATAAATAAAATTTTAGACAGGAAATGGAAGTTGAAGTTGGAAGGCGAGTAAAAGGGTAGGATCGGCGGGAAATCGGGGGAGGAGGGGTTGGAAGGGATGATGTGGAGGCGGGCACTGGGAGGGCGCGGTGGGAGGAGATCGAGGCGGGAAGGCGCGGGCTGAAGAAGGGGAGGAGCCATCGGGAGGGCGGGAACCGGGGGAGGGGCGCGGGTGGAAGGGGAGGAGCCATCGGGAGGGCGGGAACCGGGGGAGGGGCGCAGGTGCCGGTGGAGGGGGCTGAGCCGGGAGGTTCCAGCACGGCTCTGCTTGGGGGAACCGCAGCCGGGGTTGGGGCGAATGGGGGGTCCCGGGGCAGTGGGAGGGTAGTGGGGGCTGCGGCAGAGCAGGGCTGGAGCTGGGAGCTGCAGGTAGACACCACCCCAAGAGTCTGCACTGAGCAACGTAAACAGTGACCCCGGACACAGCTGCAGCCAGGGAGACCCTGAGTGTGCGAGTGTGTGATGATGCGTATCAGTGTGTGCAAATGCATGAGTGAGCATGAGGATGTGTGTCCGTGTATGAATGTGAGTGTGCCAATGTGTGCAAGGACTGTGGGGGTTTGAGAGTGTCAGTGTGGGAATGTGGGAATGTGGAGGGAAGTGTGTCGGGAATGTGTGAGTGTGCAGATGTGTGTATGGGAATGTGAAGGGAAGTGTGTGTTGCATGTGAGTGGGAACCTGGTGAGTGTGAATGTGTGAATGTTTATATGTAAATGTACGTGGGATGTGTGTGGATGTGGATGTGTGTGCACGTGTGAATGTTGATTTGTGTGACTTGTGTGTGCAGATGTGTATAAATGTGTGATGCATGTGGATGTGTGTAAATGTGTGTGGCTGCTGTGCATGTATGAATGCTGTATGTTGTAACGTTTATGAATGCGTGTGTGCAGGTGTGATGTTTTATGTGTGTGGCTGATGTGCATGAGTGGTTGTAGTGTGAGACATGTGTTATATGTGTGCACGTGTGAACATGTGATGTGCATGTGTGGATGTGAATGCTGCATGTGGGTGTTGTCGAGGTGTGGGCATGTGTGCGAATGTGACTTGTGTATCTGTGGATGTGTGTGAATGCAGGTGTTGTGAATGTGTGTGTGACTTGTACATGTGTGGATGTGTGTGCGCATGTGAATGTTACATGTGTGTGACGTGTGAGTGTGGATGTGTGAATGTATGCATTTGTGTGAATGTCGTGTGACTTGTACATGTGTGGAAGAATGTGTGTGCATGTGTGAATGTGTGTGACTTGTGTGGGTATGGATGTATGCACTTGTGTTAATGTGTGACTTATACATGTGTGAATGTATGCATTTGTGTGAATGTCGTGTGACTTGTATATGTGTGAATGTGCGTGCGTGTGTGAATGTGTGACTTGTGTGGGTGTGAATGTATGCATGCGTGTGAATGTTATGTAATGTGCAGATCTGGAGAATGGATGGAAGAGCAGGCACTTGGGGAGGGGGGAGGATCAGAGGCCATGGGGAAGGGCGGAGGGAGAAGCCACGGGGGAGGGGAGGGGCGGAGAGGCCACGGGGGAGGGGAGGGGCGGAGAAGGCCATCGGGGAGGGGAGGCCGGGGTGGGGGCACCTGCACACCATGAAGAGGCCCCTGAGGGCAGCTTGGCCTCCTGTTGGGGGGCAGGAGGGAAGGCCCAGGCAGTGCAGAATCATGGGGCTCAGGGGCCCTGCTGGGGCCCGCTCAGGAGCCTAGGGGCCTTAGGTCTCAGGAGATGGGCAGGGGAGATGGGGCCGGAAAGGGGCCATGAGGACAGAATGGGTTCGGAATCGGAGTCTGCCGGGCAGGAGTCGCTGGGAGGGTGGGCATCTCAAGCCCTGGAGAAGCTTCCACTGCTCGGAAAGAGGAGAGGACTGCAGCTCCTGGGCATCTGGGGCAGGACATGGATGGGGTCACATTTTTCTGTTGGGAATAGCACGTGCGAGGCGTGCCCTCGGGCTTTGAAGGTTGCAGGGTGGGGAAGGGAGGCCGGTGAAGCTCTGAAACCATCCCTGAGGGACTCTGAGTGACCACTTTGTGGTCAATCCACAGGGAGAGCTGAGGACGAGGCGGAGGCCCCACAAGTGAGGGCCAGGTGAAAAGCCCTACAGCTGCTGCGTGGCCAAGCCTCGTGGGCGGGCAGGCAGGGAAGGGGTGGGCAGAGGGAGGGGCGCCATAGGTCCCCCAATTCTCTGGGCATTCAGCAGAAAAACCAGCAGGGCTAAGCCAGGAAAGCTGAACTAGAAGTTTCTAACCTGTACAAGCAGAGCCACAGGTCAAGAGGACTCTGGGAGGTCCCAGGGCTCTGGGAAGGACAGGCTTGGGAAAGGGGTCTCCACCTGGAGTTCAGGCCTCATCCCAGTAATGGTCACAGCCCCCAGATGACCAAGTGCCCCAGTACCTGGGCAGGCAGGTCCACAGTGCAGCAAAGAGGCATGTGCCTCTTGGGCAAGGTCTGGCAGAGGCTGGGGGGTGGGTACCCACCCAGTACCTGTGCTGAAAGGTCACCTCGAAGGGGTCCCCAGGCCATGACCAGGGCTGCAGAGTCCCCAGGGTTAGAGCTGGTCAGTGCAGCACTGGGCATCCCCCTCAAAACACAGCACTGACAGCAGCAGCAGAGCCTTGAGCTTTGAGGCAGGACATCCCCCAGGGAGGAGCCCCTTCCTCGGGCTCACGTTCTCAAGAGATCGCAGTGCAGTGTCAGCCAGGGCTGCAGTCTCATCTGAAAGCTCCCCTGGAGCCTCTGCATCCAAGCTCATGCCCATGGCTGGTGACTGGACCCAGTTCCCTCCTGCTCCCCCAGGTCACTGAACTGAGGGCCTGAGTTCTTTGATGGTTGTTGGCCTAAGGCCACCCCAGCTCCGTGCAGGGGAGGGCAGGGGCCTCTCCACCAGGCACCCTGAAGAGTGCTCACCCACGGCAGGTAGAGGCAGGAGGGCTGGGGAAGGGCAGAGGACATGTCGGGTGTTTCATTTTATTGCCTTTTTTGTTTTTAAACAGAAAGATCTGAAGCCAGCTACATTCAGCAAGTTTTCTTAAGAACAAAATAAGAAAGACAAACTAGAACAGTCCTGCTTGGCTTATCTTGGCCTCGCCTTAACCCTCCCTTCCCTGCCATCTTTCTATGGCTCCCCTCTGCCAGGTGCCCCCTGAACTTTAAGATTCCAGGACAGTTTGAGAACTACTTCGATTTTTCTATTTTCCCATTTATGAAGGCCACTGTGCTCTCACCAGGGAATTTAATTACAAGGTTTTTAGAAACAAAAATTGCAACTCAGATGCATCCGTGAATCAGTCCTATTCCCTGTCTGCTAAAGGATGTCTTTTCATTACCATCATCTACTGTAGGGCTTTTCTGACAGTTCATATAATTCAAGATAATTGAAGGCAACTTTGCAAGCAAAACGACAGGAACCGCTACATGAAACAGCACATTAAGTCTCTGATTCATAACAATGGCACTATTTCCTTAGTGGTTTTAAAATTCTCTCGGCTGGGCATAGTGGCTCACGCCTATAATCCCAGCACTTTGGGAGGCTGGGTTGGGCAGATTGTCTGAGCTCAGGGGTTCAAGACCAGCCTGGGCAACAACGTGAGACCTTGTCTCTACAAAAAATACAAAAATTAGCTGGGCTTGGTGGCGCATGCCTGTAGTCCCAACTACTTGGGAGACTGAGGTGTGTCAACTGAGAAAAATGACAAGTCTCAATCATTTCAGGAGGTTTATTTGCCAAAGTTGAGGACGAACACCCGGGAAACAGTCTGTACCTTTCTCCGAAGATGATTTTGAGGACTCCAAATTTAAAGGGGAAAGGGTGGGATAATGACAAGTACACAATTTTCATGTAAGAGGTGGGTAGAGAAAAATAGTCACGCCTTTGGCTCATTGAATCTGCATTATTTTTACACAAGATGACATAGACAAATGGGGCAGGGGAACAATCAGGTATGCATCTGTGTCTGTCGGGCAGGGGTTGACTGCACCTGTAAAGATGAGCTATCAATTTGCATTGCCATGGTGAAATCTTAACAGAAACACCTTAAAGATCTCAGAACTCACTAGGAATTTCCTTGTGGGTAAAATGTAGGGGAGGTATGTAGCTTTTCATCTTGCAGCGTCTTATTTAGGGACCAAAAGGGGAAGCAGGTTTGCACGACCCAGTTCCCAGCTTGAGTTTTCCCTTTGGCTTGAGTTTGGGGACCCGAGATTTATTTTCCCTTCACAGGTGGGAGGACAGTGTAAGCCTGGGAGGCAGGGCTGCAGGGAGCCGAGATCGTGCCACTGCACTCCAGCCTGGGTGACAGAGTGAGATCCTGTCTCCAACAAAACAAAACAAAACAAAACAAAACACCTCTCTCTGGACGAGGGAGGGACTGTGAAAGCAACCGAGGAAACAGGCAGCTTTCACTCCCAGCAGCGTGGGATCCTCGCCCAAGGCCGGGAAAACACAGGAGTGAAATGACAGCTATACAAGTACACTCCACAGGCTGCACAAAAAGAAGAAAAACAGTGCTACACACACCAGTAAGCAACGGCACTGGCATGCTCCACCTCCTGTGGGCAGCCTGGGCATGAGGTCATTTTCCAAAACAGGCAGCTGGTCAGCATTTTCCATGCCCAGGGCAAGTTCCCCTTGATGGGCAGAGCCTAACGACCAGCGCTGAGTCAGTCTAGGAGCAGCAAGACTGGAAACCCTGGCGCAGGAGCCACGTCAGCGTGACTCAAGCAATGGCAAGTTCTCACAGCAACAACATGAAACGCCCAACAGGGTGATGACTATGGGAGGAAAACGGACCAGAACCTGGACAGTGCGTGCACTGCACACCCTCCTGGTTAACAGCCCCATGCCCCGAGAGCTGTTCTTTACATGAATTTCTTCTGTTAAAGCAGCTCGTGTGGCTTCTGCAGCCTGGTGGAGCCACCACACGTGCCTGTCACGGAGGTGAGGAGTGGGTGCCCACCAGCATTTCACGCTGACCTTCCGGAAACACGGTGTCCCTCAGAGCCTTCAGCCTGCAGGACAGAGCCACCCCTGGTCGTTCTGTTGGAATTTCGGCGTTCCTGTCTTTTAGGCGACATCCGCCAAGCGCAGTTTGTGTGAAGAAACGCATTCTGTCGTGTCCACCGGGGCCCAGGGCGGCTGCTGTGCACGAACCAGCTTTTGTGGCCCACAGAGCGATGACTCAGTCTGGAGCTTGGCTACTCTCCGGCCCGGGGTGCTGGCATTTCCCTGGGGCCCAGTGCCTCTATTTTCCCCATGAGGCCTCAGCCAAAAGGAGGTTCTGGAAGAAAGGAAAACACTGGTGCGGAGAGAGAAGGGCTGGCCAAGAGGCACCACGCCATCAGTGCTGATGGGGAGAGGCGGCTCCAGCCCGGCACTGCTGTCCTTACGAGGCGTGTTTCCTTTTTATTCAGAGGAAGAGAAGCAGAGGAACACGTCATGGAGACGGACTGAGTGGAAGGAGCCAGGGATGGCGACAAGCAGAAGGAAGTTGTTTTGTCCCCATCCAGGGAAGCTTTTGTTTCATGAGACTTACTTGCACACGTCTGGTGGCCGCCCTGGACATTCACGGACTTTTGTTTTCACTCAGATTTTGTGGTTCAAGTGACACAAAGCATGAGGACGTCACTGGGCGAGAGGGCCAGATCACCCCACCGCGGAGGGGCGCGCCCCAGCTGTGCACCACGGGAGTGGGCTTGTCCAGTCTTCAAACACTGGGACAGGATGTGCCCATCTCATGTAAGACATGAATAATAGTAGAGATTTCTGTTACAGGAGAACTCTCTGCATTATCCTCACCATTTTCCTGTAAGCGTAAAACTTCTAAAAAATTTTTATGAGCACACTAATTCCTCACTTAAGGTCGTCATTAGGTTCTTGGAAACGGCAACTTTCAACAAAAGGACAGACAGCAGGTGCTCAAATAACATTCTTTCCTTCAACATCATTTCATCCTAAGGAGAAAAAATGGATTTTGTTACATGTCCTTTCACTTAAGGCTGCACTTTCCAAGAACCTACTGACGACATCAAGTAAGGACCTATTGCACCTTACAAGTTGCTGGCATTTGCAGAGTGCACCCCAGGTGCGCATGGAATTGACCTAAGGTGGAGGAGAGCAGGTGTGCTGCTCCGTCCTGGCTGTGTGGCTCCATCCTGTGGACTGATGCGGGTGGACAGTCAAGAATGCTTTCAGGAGAATGTGGGTGGCCTGCCAGTGGGACCTATTCCAGAGGTCTGAGAAGAAACTGTCGTTTAACCTAGAATCCTACTAGGAATCAAACAAGCTTTGACATGAAAAGGAAAAAGAATGACGACTCTGAATAGGTAGAGACTCAGAACAATTCTTACCGACTCATCGTTTAGGAAAAAATCTTACAGCACGTGCTTCACCAGGGTCACCAACTGTCCCAATTTTCTTGGGACTGAGGATTTGTTTTTGTTTGTTTGTTTGTTTTGAGACAGAGCCTCTCTCCGTTACTCAAGCTGGAGTGCAATGGTACGATTTTGGCTCACTACAACCTCCACCTTCCAGGTTCAAGCGATTCTCCTGTCTCAGCCTCCCTGAGTAGCAGGGATTACAGGCACCCACCACCATGCTGGCTAATTTTTCAATATTTACTAGAGATGGGGTTTCACCATGTTGGCCAGGCTGGTCTCAAACTCCTGACCTCAGATGATCCACCTGCCTCAGCCTCCCAAAGTGCTGTGATTACAGGCATGAACCACCATGCCCAGCCTACTGAGGGGGTTGTATGGACATGGGACTTTTAATGCTAACACTAGCAGAGTCTCTGTCAGACTGAGATGATGGTCACTCTTTAGCCAAACATCGCCACCACTGTCCCCCAACATCCACAACAGCAACAGTTTGAGTAAAGACGCAAATACCACCTGCGGTCCAAATACTTGAGTGTGTTAACGGTGCGTTGGGTGCGCACAGTGGTACCCAGAGTCTCCAACTAGCTCCTCGTGAGCTGGGTGGGGCATGCAGGGAAGGAGGCCGAGCTTCCTGTCTATCTGGGGAGGCTGTGGGCTCCACCTCTGCAGACTTTGGGAGGAAACCAGTGTTCACACACTTGTAGTAATGCACGTGTAGTTTAGGGTTTCTTTGGAACTCAGCTGTGGACAAAGCACAGAACTCAGTTGTCTCTGTAGAAAAGGGTGGCCTGTCACCCGGTACCAGGTGAGGGGAGCGGTGGTGAGAGCACCTGGTGGTGGCAGAGAGGAGGCGCGGAGCAGAGTCAGTGTCCCCTCACGGAGTGAGAGTGCAGAAGACAGAACCACAGAGGCGGTCGTAATGACATTACTTCATTTGGGGTTAAATTAGGGTGCACATCACACAAAATCCCCAAACCACAGGGAATGAAATGGAAGTTGTTTCTCTCTCGTTCTCTCTCATAAAACAAGTCTGAAAGCTGCAGTGTCATCAGATCCACGGCCCCGCATCTCTGCCACACCCCACCATGCACCTGCACTCCTCCCAGCCTGTGGCTTCCAGAGCTCCAGAACTCGGGAGAGACAAAGACACTGGGATCTTCTGCCATGGAAGCAGAGAGGAATGCTGGGGACACACAAGGGCACTCGCTGCCACAAGTACCTCCTGGAAGAGCAAAACCCAATGCCACGACTGCCTCCCTCCAGCAGCGCCAGCACGAGTGAGCCAGATCCCCACCTTTGACCATCGAGGCTGAGAGGTAATATCTGAGGTCGACAGATCAAGAACTAGAGATAAAAGCAAACCAAGCTGGTGGTAAAGAGGAGGAATGACCGTAAGATGCCTCTGAAAAGTGGGACTGCGGGGAACCTCCTCTTGGTTTCTGGTTGCACATGTGAATTTGTTGAAAACTGAACATATTAAGATGTGAGCTTAGGAGCTGGCAGCCTGCAGCATGGGGAGGTGTGGGAAGTGGACAGTCTCAGGCCAGGTTGGGCTGGAAAGTGGTGCCACCTTGAGAACAGTAGGTTAACATCTACCCCCAGTGACGACATTCAAACTTTCACCCAGCATCCACTTCCAGGGGAGATTTTCACAGAAACATTCACGACTGCACACAAAATATACATACAATGATGAGGGTTGAACATTGTTATGACAAAACATGGGAAGCAACTTAAATGCCATCCGTGGGAAACGGTCTAGTGGTGGAACTGTGGGGCTGTGGGATACTGTGGGTGGGTGAGAAATGGAGAAGCGTCTCCAAGCATCAGCAGGATAAGACGGCTCTATCTGTTTTCAAAGGAGAAAAAGAGCAAGCCCCAAGCTGTGCATTTACACAGGGACGTGAGTGCATCCATCTGTAATGCGTCTGTCACCCCACACCAGGAGGGTTTAACTCTGCATGGGGAGAGGGTGAAGAAGGGTTTTCACCTGGTGCTAGACTGCCTGGGTTCAAATCCTGCTCCTACTTAGTGCTGTGCATTTAGGCAAAATACCTAAACCTCTCTGTGCCTTCCTTTCCACCTCTCTGAAGCAGGGTCTGTGACAATGCCCACTCCTCATTCATAAGATGGTGGTGAGGATTAAATGAGCTGATGCCCTCACAAGGTGTTTGTCCACCAGTGATATGGTTTGGCTGTGTCCTCACCCAAATCTCGTCTTGAATTGTAATCCTCATAATCCCCACGTGTCGAGGGAGGGACCCCGTGGGAGGTGATTGGATCATGGGGGTGGTTCCCCATGCTGTCCTCATGATACTGGGTTCTCATGAGATCCGATGATTTTATAAGGCAGCTTTCCCTGCTCTTGCACGCTCTCTCTTGCCTGCCGCCATGTAAGATGTGCCTTTTCCCTTTCCACCATGATTGTAAGTTTCCTGAGGCCTCCCCAGTCATACAGAACTGTGAATCAATTACATCTCTTTCCTTTATAAACTGCTCTGTCTTATAGCAGTGTGCGAATGAACTAATACAGTAAACTGGTACTGCAGAGAGTAGAGTACCGCTATAAAGATACCCGAAATGTGGAAGCAACTCTGGAACTGGATAATAGACAAAGATTGGAACAATTTGGAGGGCTCAGGAAAAAGACAGGAAAATGTGGGGAAGTTTGGAACATCCTAGAGACTTGTTGAATGGTTTTGACCAAAATGCTGATAGTGATGTGGACGATGAAGTCCAGGCTGCGGTGGTCTCAGATGGAGATGAGGAACTTCTTGAGAACAGGAGTGAAGTTCTCTCTTGCTATGCTTTAGCAGAGACTGGTGGCATTTTGTCCCTGTCCTAAGATCTGTGGAACTTTGAATGTGAGAGAGATGACCTGAAATTGGAACATATGTTTACAAAGAAGCAGAGCATTAATGTTTGGAAAATTTGCAGCCTGACAATATGATAGAAAAGAAAAACCCATTTTCTGGGGAGAAATCCAAGCTGGCTACAGATATTTGCATAAGTAATGAGGAGCCAAGTGTTAATCACCAAGACAATGGGGAAAATGTCTCCAGGGTATGTCAGAGGACTTTGGAGCAGCCCCTCTTATCACAGGAATGGAGGCCTAGGAGGAAAAAATGGTTTCATGGGCCGAATCTAGGGCCCCACTGCTCTGTGCAGCCTCTGGACTTGACACCTTCTGTCCCAGCTGCTGCCACTCAAACTCCAGTAGTGGCTAAAAGGGGCCATATACAGCTCAAGCTGTTGCATCAGCAGGCACAAGCCCCAAGCCAGCACATAATTCAACAATTGAGGTTTGGGAACCTCTGCCTAGATTTCAGAAGAAGTATGGAAACAGCTGGATGTCTAGACAAAAGTTTGCTGCAGGGGTGGAACCTTCATGGAGAACCCGTTAGGGTGGTGAGGAAGGGAAATATGGGGCTGGAGCCCCCATAGCAGAGTACACACTGGGTCACTGCCTAGTGGAGCTGTAAGAAGAGGGCCACCATCCTCCAGATCTCAGAATGGTACACCCACTGACAGCTTGCACTGTGGCCTGGGAGAGCTGCAGACACTCAACGCCAGTCCATGAAAGCAGCCAGGAGGGGGGCTGTACCTTACAAAGCCACAGAAGCAGAGCTGCCCAAGACCATGGGAACCCACCTTTTTCATCAGTGTGACCTGAATGTGAGACATAGAGTCAAAGGAGATCATTTTGGAGCTTTAAGATTTAATGATTGCCTCACTGGATTTTGGACTTACAAGGGGCCTGTAGCCCCTTTGTTTGGCCACTTTCTCCCATTTGAAATGGAATAATTTACCCAATGCCTGTACCCCCATTGTATCTTGGAAGTAACTAACTTGGTTTTGATTTTACAGGCTCATAGGTGGAAGGGACTTGCCTTGTCTCAGATGAGAATTTGGACTCGGACTTTTGAGTTAAGACTTCGGAGGACGGTTGGAAGGGCATTATTGTGTTTTGAAATGTGAAGACATGAGATTGGGGAGGGGCCATGGGCAGAATGATAATGGTTTGGCTGTTTTTCCACCCAAATCTCATGTTGAATTGTAATCCCCATAATCCCCACATGTCGAGGGAGGGACCTGGTGGGAGGCGATTGGATCATGGGGGTAGTTTCCCCCATATTGTTCTCATAGTAATGAGTTTTCACAAGAGCTAATGGTTTTATAAGGCATTTTTCCCTGCTCTTTTTTGCTCTCTCTCGCCTGACGCCCTGTAAGACATGCCTCTTCCCCTTCTGCCGTATTGTAAGTTCCTTGCGGCCTCCCCAGCCATGTGGAACCATGAGTCAATTAAACCTCTTTTCTTTATAAACTACCCCGTCTCAGGTAGTATCTTTATAGCAGTGTGAGAGCAGACT